CCCAAGGATGTAAGTACTTATTTATATTATTCATATTTATATGTTGTTACCTGTAAACTAGTCCTACAGACTCAACTACAGAAAACCATTTATATTTAATATTTATATCATAAACGTTCCCTCAGGTCTCTCATCACCTTTTCCTCCTCATCATGAACAACAACCAGATCTGCATCCCTTCCTCTGCAGTTCTCTCGAGCTTCTTCCCAGGTTTTAAGATCAGAAGGAGCTTCACTGTTATGAAACACATAGCAGCTCTTCTGGATATGGTACCAGCCTCTCTGACAAGCTGAACACGTTCTCACTGAAAGAACAAAGAACCAACAAACAGCCTCAGTGTGATATGGTTATTGGTTCTTTGTGGACTGATTAATGTAAAGTGATGATACCTTTACTTGTATCTGCTGGGCAGTAGGAGTCGATGGTCCACTGAGCTCTGTTGACATTGAACTTCTCCCAGTTGTCCTCCAGGTCTGTGATTTGTTTTGTGAAGTTCTCCTTCAGCTCCTGGTTCTCTGTCTTCAGCTCCTGGTTCTCTGTCTTCAGCTCCTGGATCTCGTTCTTCAGCTCGGTGTTCTTACCTTCTGAGACATGATAGTGTTGCGTCATGTTTTCCAGCTGCAGCTTGAGACTGTTGAGTTTCTTTCTTGAGTCTTCCTTCTCTAAGTTCAGCTGCTCACTGAGGTTTCTCAGCTCTTGTTTGGCCGCCAGCAGGTTTTCTCTTAACTGGTTCATCTCTGTTATGTCATCACTTATTGTAGTAACTGAAAATGAAATTTGGACTATTTATTAATGGTAATAATATAACTTGGTTTTGGTCAATTTTACTTGTCCATCTTGTGTAGTTATGAAGGATCATGAGGCTCATTGATCTGTTTTTAAAGGAAATCAATGGCACACACACACTTTTGAGATACAACAGAGCTCACAGGACTTGTTAGAAGAATATAGAATATCTATTCACTCATCCTTTCATTCCTATTATATAACGTCTCCAATACATGTAACTATTCAGTAATCTGAAGCAGAAGAAGTTCTTCATTCTGAAGTTTAATTTGAACTGTGGATGTATAAACATCCAGGTGAGATGAATCTATTCTGTTGCTCTGTGCATCGCTTCAGGTTAACTGTACTCAGCTCCTGGATCTCTTTCATCAGCTTGACGTTTTGTTCAGAAATGACGAAAGAAACTGAAATATGATCAGAGGGAAGTGTTGGTCTCGTTGTTTGTTTGGATCCTTTAAATAACCCATGTGACACAGAGGTGTTTCATGATCATGGCAGGTGTCACACTATGGGTGTTCATGCATGCAGCCGTCTTTAGACTCACTGTCTCTGGAGTCACACAGATTGAATCCTGAGCTCTAAAGGTTGAAAACTCCTCATGATTGATTGGTCTTAGATGAAGCTGAGAGGAAGCCGGCGTGGACTCGCTCCACCCAGAAGGTACTCACAGTAGATACGAAGGCCCATGATGAGCAGCAGGAGGATCCAACACACGGCGAGCAGGGGGAGAGACGGAGAGGAGAAGAGGAGCCTCCGGTCTGACACAAACATCACAACAAGGGTGGAGGTCATGGTGCTGCTCCAACACTCAAAGGCCTTAAATACATGACAAGCACATGAAGTGGGTGGTGTTCAGCGTGCACCTGGGGGGGCTTTGTCCTCAGGACGTACTGGTGCGTTCACGTATTCATTGTCCTCAATGACTCCCTCTGAAAGAGAAGACAACAAAGTGTTCATCACGAAGACGCCAAAGAGGAACTCTGGAATCCACTTCTACCGTCGGGATGTTGTCTGAGGTCACAGCGTCACAAGCAAACATGCAGCTGTAAATACTTTATCTTTGGCCTGAGACCTTTGTCACCTGTTCACCTGTTCACCTGTTCAGCCCGAGCTTCACCGTTTCGGAGTTGATCTTGGTCAAATATACAAATATTCAAGTCTTGGCTACAGTCTCCACTTATACGTCTGAAAAGGCTCCAAACACAACTTAAACAAGTTAGACAATATGTTGTGTAAATTAGTCCAGATGATTTGCACACAGCGCTGCTTACGTACTTTATTCTCATCCAAGCTAAAAGCTAAGAACCAAAACGAGGCCCTGAATCGCTCACAGTGTGCTGAATACAGGAAGTCTCCTTCATCCTGACAGACAACAAATGTCCAGAGAGACAAAGTAGTTGAGTTATCACACTTTTTATCATAGAACGGCCTCTTCGGATCCACAAGATGTTGATACATCAGCATCACAGTGAGTTCACCCCGTACATCAGAACAACAAGTTAGACAATATCTTATGCAAATTAGTCCAGATGATTTGCACACAGCGCTGCTTACGTACTTTATTCTTATTAAAGCTAAAAGCTAAGAACAAAAACGAGGCCCTGAATCTTTTTTTAGGCAATTTTCTGTGTCTTAAATTCATTTATTTCTTCACCAGTAACATAGAAACTGACTTATTAGGAGCCGTTTAGGACTTAAATACTGAGACACTCTCACACATACATACATACATACGTACTAGGTAAACAGATGCACCCACATATATAAAACATTATACATAGTCAACTGAAACACGTATATATGAGAAACACATACGCGTTTATATACACTGCTGTGTCTTATACACATATGAATGAAATGAAACATTTATATGTATCTATCTGATGGCTGTCAGAGCCATATTTTAGTTGGTAGGAATTATGTGTATTCACTTAAACTATTTTTTCATTCATATTTGAAATAACTCTTTATGATTCATTAGATTCACCTGACGAGGGTCAGTGGATAAGAGGAGGGGGGGCTGAGGCACGGGGGCTGGCTTTTGTCTTGGACGGGACATCGGCACAGACTTTTGACCTCACGTTGTCCACTAATCATGTTAATCGTGTTCAAATGAAACGACCAAATGTAAAACTTAAATAAACAACGTAAATGAGAAGTATTGAGTGGTTTCTATGGGAGCGACATCGTGTGAGTTAGGAAGCGGAGTCCTGGGCACCAAAATGAGGAAGTGCAAAGATCGGCCACACACGCACATATGAAAAGGTTCTATATATATAGTTGAACACTTATACATTCATAATCTCTTGAGGATTACAAAGATATACAAAGTTTAGATACATATGCAAGTGTTTACATATATTTATGTAATTGTTTCAAATGTGTATTTATAACTTTTTCAGTTATATGTATGTATGCTCTCACATGAGAATGTGCAAGCGTTTCACATGTATTCATACGAGTAATCTCACTAGTGAATATTAGAGCATCTCACTAGTAAACATTAGAGCATCTCACTAGTGAACATAAGAGCATCACACTAGTGAATATAAGAGCATCTCACTAGTAAACATAAGAGCATCACAACAGTGAAAATAAGAGCATCTCGCTAGTGACCATAAGAGCATCTCACTAGTGAACCTTATGGCGCGTTTCCACCGAGTGGTATGGTACGGTACGGGTCGGGTCGGTACGGGTCCGGTCTGTTAACCATGATTTGGTGAGCGTTTCCACCGCCAACAGTACCCTTACTTGATGAGCGTGGTGTATTCCAGAAAGTAGAAAGTAGTGATAGCGTCACTTGATAGGCGTGGTATATGATGGAAAGTAGATTGACGTCATTCGATGGCGTGAAAACTGAAAGCTAACCGCAAACAAAAATGGGGGACATACAGCCGATCCTGTTCTTGCTTCTCGATATGTGGCTGTTTGTCACAAGGAGACGACACTCTTTGTTTGAGCAAAGGCTACATGCTGCAAGTGTGTTAACTGTGTTGTCTTTAGAGCATCTCACTAGTGAACATAAGAGCATCTCGCTAGTGAACATAAGAGCATCTCGCTAGTGAACATAAGAGCATCTCACTAGTGAACATTAGAGCATCTCGCTAGTGAACATAAGAGCATCTCACTAGTGAACATTAGAGCATCTCACTAGTGAACATAAGAGCATCTCGCTAGTGAATATAAGAGCATCATACTAGTGAATATAAGAGTATCTCACTAGTGAACATAGGAGCATCACACTAGTGAACATAAGAGCAGCTCACTAGTCAACATTAGAGCATCTTACTAGTGAACATAAGAGCATCACGCTAGTGAACATTAGAGCATCTCACTAGTAAACATAAGAGCATCACACTAGTGAAGATAAGAGCAGCTCACTAGTGAACATTAGAGCATCACGCTAGTGAACATTAGAGCATCTCACTAGTGAACATAAGAGCATCTTGCTAGTGAACATTAGAGCATCTCACTAATGAACATAAGAGCATCTCACTAGTGAACATAAGAGCATCTCGCTAGTGAACATAAGAGCATCACAGTAGTGAATATAAGAGCATCATACTAGTGAATATAAGAGCATCTCACTAGTGAACGTTAGAGCATCTCACTAGTTGTCACACAATAGACCACATCATAGTTTATTTTAATCTTCACTGCATGTTTAATTTAACCTTCACTGCATGTTATCTAACTCTCCTGTCATTTCAGATCCTCCCACATCATCAGCTCATTACCCACACCTCGATCTCCTTGCTCTCACCTGAAGCACATCCCGTCATCAGCCACTCACTATTTAAGGCCATGACATTTGTTTGTTCCCTGCCAGATTGTCTTGTGTGCATGCCAAGTTTTTCTTCGTTTTTCCGATTACCAATATCCCGTCCTGACCTAGCCGGCCTTCTCTTAACCACGAACCCTTCGTCTGCGCCCTTTTTGGACTTGCTTGCCAGTCGGTTTTCCATCCTGTTTCTGAACACTGCCTGTACGGATTTCCTGCCTGCCCCTCTGGATAAGTTTGCCCATTGGACTGCTATTCCGGTTTTGACCCTGCCTGTATAAGTAAAGAACTTTTGATTGGATTCTGCCTCGGAGTTGTGCTTTTGGGTTCCTATACCTGTTGCCCTTACACTAGTGAACATTAGAGCATCTCACTAGTGAACATTACATTACAGGTCATTTAGCTGACGCTTTTATCCAAAGCGACTTACATTACATTTTAAACCCATGGCTTTTTCACATTTTGCCCGGGGAGCAATTAGGGGTTGGGTGTCTTGGCTCAGGGACACTTCGACTTTAAACATGTGGCAGCCGGGACTTCAACCACCAACCTTGCGGTTCCCAGCGCACCCGCTCTACCCCCTGTGCCCCGACGAACATAAGAGCAGCTCACTAGTGTAAATACATGAAGTCTCACCAGCATACGGAAGCATCTCCGTTACACCAGACGAAGGAAGCAAAGAGTGCAGGTTTTGAACAGTGAAAAGCGCCTTACGTTCTTCCTAATATGCTTTTAAGACCGGACTTCTGTCCTTGTGTCGGTCCAAGTTTATAAATATTACTATTTATGTCCCAGATTGTAGTTTTAGGCCTGTTCTCAGCAGGACTTCTTTGAAACGCTGCGCTTGTATCCACTTCTCCGTAGTGGAGATTAAACCCCTTTTAATGCACAATGATACTGTGGATACAGACAAGACGTTAAAGTTTAATAAACATGAAGTTATGAATCTAAACTCTGTCCTCAAAAGAGCGTAACAAAACCGGTGAACAAACACCAGACTGACAACAGATTAAGTTATGAACACTCAGCCTAGTTATAGATTAGTTAACATTATATCTCATGTATAATAATGTATATAAGGTAATCTCACGTATACCTGCTTCATCCGCTGGCTTTCTGCTCATCGTGAACAGATGTTCAGAGTCCTGATGCAGATGTGGATGAGTGCTGATCCGCGCTGAGGCTCTTCAGTGCACTTCTGCTCTGAGCTGGTGGTTTTGTGGCCCCCTGCCTGGGTGCTGCTGATAAGAAGGAAAAAAATAAGTAACATTTGCGCCTTTAAGAAAATGTAGAAGTCAGTGTGTTCATTCACGTTCAGTCTGGTTTTTACTTCTGCTTCTCTTTTTGAGGTTTTGACCCAAACTTTGGGGCACATTCTCGCGCTGCTGTCAACTCCTCCATTTTTAAAATAGGTTTATTTGGGAGGGAAATTACCCATTAAAAGATTCCTCTGAATGTGTCAGAGTTGTAACAGTGATTTTTTATCTGTAGCCTCTGAACTGATGTTACAAACTCATCGGCTTTGCACTACGGAGCCTTTACAAAACACGCAGAGAGAATAAAAGAAGAGAGAAGATGAAAATACGTAGACACGTGACTCAGGAAGCCCTCGTACTGCTTCATCAACACCATGAAGACATGAAGCACGGAGGCTCACAGAGACGCAGCCAGTAAACGAGGGACCATTCTGACAGAGACACGGACAGAGAGGAGATCAAGCTGCATGGTTACACGCTAAAAACATGCAGGGAAGCATGATGACTGAGTGCAGGGGGACGAGGGCGGGCGAGCTGTCGTCATGGTAACGCGCCGTTTGACCGGCTGTACGTTGGTACAATCACACACACACATTTCTATCTGACGCACACAAAGTAGTTCTTAACACACACTCGCTCTACAACAGTCCATCATGTTAATAATCCATTATTCAGCCCTACAGCTGCTCAGTGTGTCTGCTCAGAGACCTGGGGGGGCGTATCCCAGCATGCACTGCACGACGGGCGTGAAAACACGAACACGAGGAACCTCAACAGGCGGTGACTTCATCCGCCCGTTCATGTGACACCACCAACACAACAAAAGAAGTCAACATGTGATCAATGTGAGATGGACAGCGGGAGACTGTTTGAGGGACACTTCCTGGTCCTCTGTGGAGCTCTGCTGCTGCAGATGTTCACAGTGGGACGGCCTTCTGCTTTAACGCGTCACAGCACCTGAAGGAGGCGACTCTTCCTGACGCCACTGAAGCTTGTTGAAGGATTCACGCCGATAAAAAGAGACAAACAACAACGTGTGGCTGCACATTTATTAACAACAACAACAACAACAACAGACCAAAAGATGAACCTGCTGCTACAAAGATAAACTGAGAAACATCAGCTGTGCAAGTTCAACATGGTTCTAAGTATTGATGCAAAGTGCAGAGAACCAGCACCAGCACTTTGACCCTGCTGGTCAAAGGTAGAAACAAGAAGAAATAAATCAGGAAGCTGCTGATGTGTAAATCATGAGCGTTGCTTCTCTAACAGATCACAAGGAAACACACAGGAAGTTATGAACAATCAACAGTTTGGTCCTGACGTCTGAATTCACACTCAAAGTATCTATTGGATCCAATAAACACCTTGAAGCTGAGATTCTGCTTTGAAGAACACAACACTTTAGAAAATAAAAGCTTTTTTCTGTAGAAATGAAAACCTTGAATAAAATCATAGTTGTGAAGTAGAATCCTACATGTTTGTATGTTGATGAGCCACTTGATGTCACATGTAGGAGCATCCAGGAACCTTCTGGAGAATGAAAGATGAGACGTTTAAACAGACAAAGCTTTCTGTGAGCAGATCCTTGTTCTCTTCTCATCACACTTCACTGATGTCCATGTTCTGGTCCCGAGAGAAACGGCACAGTGACCTTCAGCAGGAGGTTCTATCCAGGAGCTGAAGGAACAACATGATGTTCAGATGAAACAATGATAGAAGAAATGATTCATGATGTTAAAGAATGTGTCACTTACGCGTTCATCAGATCAGTTCCATCGATCCACTTCCACGTCCTTCCTTCAACCCTCAGGCCCATCCAGTACCCCTTAAGTACAGGGATCTTTGTGATGTAACCATCGATTACTTTCTGTGAAAGAGAAGAAATGACAATTTACAAAGATAAAAGAAACCAGAGAAATAAAGTGTTTATTTGAAGGAAGTTATTAAAGTGTCTTGTGTGTCTTTATAGAGAAGAGTTGTGTGAGGTTAAGTAAAGGTCCCAATGATGTCAGTACTTATTTATATTATTCATATTTATATGTTGTTACCTGTAAACTAGTCCTACAGACTCAACTACAGAAAACCATTTATATTTAATATTTATATCATAAACGTTCCCTCAGGTCTCTCATCACCTTTTCCTCCTCATCATGAACAACAAACAGATCTGCTCCTCTTCCTCTGCAGTTCTCTCGAGCTTCTTCCCAGGTTTTAGGATCAGGAGGAGCTTCACTGTTATAAAACACATAGCAGCTCTTCTGGATCTGGTCCCAGCCTCTCTGACAAGATGAACACCTTCTCACTGAAAGAACAAAGAATCAACAAACAGCCTCATTGTGATATTGTTATTGGTTCTTTGTGGACTGATTAATGTAAAGTGATGATACATTTACTTGTATCTGCTGGGCAGTAGGAGTCGATGGTCCACTGAGCTCTGCTGACATTGAACTTCTCCCAGTTGTCCTCCAGGTCTGTGATTTGTTTTGTGAAGTTCTCCTTCAGCTCCTGGATCACGTTCTTCAGCTCGGTGTTCTTACCTTCTGAGACATTATAGTTTTGCGTCATGTTTTCCAGCTGCAGCTTCAGACTGTTGAGTTCCTTTCTCTAGTCTTCCTTCTCTAAGTTCAGCTGCTCACTGAAGTTTCTCAGCTCTTGTTTGGCCGCCAGCAGGTTTTCTCTTAACTGGTTCATCTCTGTTATTTCATCACTTATTGTATCAAAAATGAAAATGAAATTTGGACTATTTATTGATGGTAACAATATAAATTGGTTTTGGTCAATTTTACTTGTCCATCTTGTGTGTTTATGAAGGATCATGAGGCTCATTGATCTGTTTTTAATGGAAATCAATGGCACACACACACTTTTGAGATACAACAGAGCTCGTTGGGATTGAATCACAGGACTTGTTAGAAGAATATAGAATATCTCTTCACTCATCCTTTCATTCCTATTATATAACGTCTCCAATATATGTAACTATTCAGTAATCTGAAGCAGAAGAAGTTCTTCATTCTGAAGTTTAATTTGAACTGTGGATGTATAAACATCCAGGTGAGATGAATCTATTCTGTTGCTCTGTGCATCGCTTCAGGTTACCTGTACTCAGCTCCTGGATCTCTTTCATCAGCTCCTGGTTCTCTTTTATCAGCTTGACGTTTTGTTCAGAAATGACGGAAGAAACTGAAATATGATCAGAGGGAAGTGTTGGTCTCGTTGTTTGTTTGGATCCTTTAAATAACCCATGTGACACAGAGGTGTTTCATGATCATGGCAGGTGTCACACTATGGGTGTTCATGCATGCAGCCGTCTTTAGACTCACTGTCTCTGGAGTCACACAGATTGAATCCTGAGCTCTAAAGGTTGAAAACTCCTCATGATTGATTGGTCTTAGATGAAGCTGAGAGGAAGCCGGCGTGGACTCGCTCCACCCAGAAGGTACTCACAGTAGATACGAAGGCCCATGATGAGCAGCAGGAGGATCCAACACACGGCGAGCAGGGGGAGAGACGGAGAGGAGAAGAGGAGCCTCCGGTCTGACACAAACATCACAACAAGGGTGGAGGTCATGGTGCTGCTCCAACACTCAAAGGCCTTAAATACATGACAAGCACATGAAGTGGGTGGTGTTCAGCGTGCACCTGGGGGGGCTTTGTCCTCAGGACGTACTGGTGCGTTCACGTATTCATTGTCCTCAATGACTCCCTCTGAAAGAGAAGACAACAAAGTGTTCATCACGAAGACGCCAAAGAGGAACTCTGGAATCCACTTCCACCGTCGGGATGTTGTCTGAGGTCACAGCGTCACAAGCAAACATGCAGCTGTAAATACTTTATCTTTGGCCTGAGACCTTTGTCACCTGTTCACCTGTTCACCTGTTCAGCCCGAGCTTCACCGGTTCGGAGTAATATGTGTTATGTTATGCAAATTAGTCCAGATGATTTGCACACAGCGCTGCTTACGTACTTTATTCTCATCGAAGCTAAAAGGAGGGCGATTCAGGGCCTCGTTTTGGTTCTTAACCAAAACGAGGCCCTGAATCGCCCTCCGCGTGCTGAATACGCTGATATCTGCACCATTTGTCTCAGACAAACCCTGCTGAGGACAGAGCCAAACAACCACCCAGCATGACAATCACACCTCTCACCTTTTCAACAAAATGATGAATCGAATCTGCTGTTATTTAGCGAGACACGTCCAGCGGCCATTGTATGCACATAACAAGCTGTTTCAGCGCCTTCCGCGCAGGTTTTGGGGGTCAGGGTTTTTTTTCTAAGTCAATCGTAACTCTCCAGCGTCATTGTACGCTCTTCCCGTTTTGACCTCTGAGCGGCTAAAAGAGGCGTCGCTCTTTGCCGCCTGTCAGTCTGGTCCAATAGAATGAGGCAAAAAAGTGGTTGAAACGGGCAGATCGGCAACTACAGCCGGACTCTGATAAGAATCCACATCTTCACTGAGGCCTGAAGGACAGCCTGTCCTCCAGTAGATGATATTCACTCAAAGCAGAACGTTCCCTGATTGCTGCCCACGCACTGATCTGTCACACAGATGTGTGTTCAGTCTGCTACCTCCATGTTTTATGGGGCTCGTGTTAGGTTCAAAAATGAAGAAACGCCGGTGTTACACCCCTACTGGTTTTTCTACTGGGCGTGTCTTGGAACGCTTCAGGACATGTGGAACGCTACTTCTTCACGAGGCTGCAGCCTTGTAGCGACACATTTTGATAAAAAAAGGATATTGTTTTCTTACGGCCACCGCGTGACGTAAACCACAGACACGAACAAAACAAAGTTTAGAAAATATATTAAAAGATCGAACCGACCAGGTTGCGAACCCATGCAGCAAAATGCAAACGCATCACGCTGCTGCTCGCTCTTTTCGCTGCGCAACGGGGCAGTACGCAGGGTTTGGTCTTAATATATTAATGCAAGGTGATTGACATGGAGGAAACCTTCTGGTGGAGGGGATCTAAAACAACTGTTTACGTGGGCCGGTTCTTCCGTGACATCCATGCGTGGTTCCCACTGGGAAACCAACCTTTAGGAGCAAGCACTTCTGCCTGTCCAGCATGCTTTCTTTAGAGCTACTTTTATTTTGTTTTTCAATGATTTATTTATTGTGACTGTTAAAACACAATTATTTAATAAAATTCCCTTTTGGCAGCTTTATAAGGTATCTGATTCCCTAATAGAAGTTTTGCAAATGTACAATCTGTTTCACTCAATTCCCTTCACTTTTTGTGGGTCCATCTCTTGTTCCGAAAGATCGTATGTACGACCTCATGGCGTTTTTATAGGGATGCTGCTTGTTAACTTTAATTGGGTGACAATTAAGAATCGATACATTTCTTTGGATGTGTTCCAAGACACGCCCAAGGTAACCAGTTGTTTCAGATCCACGACACCAGAAGGTTTCCTCCATGCCAATCACGATATACTAATATATTAAGACCAAACCCTGCGTACTGCCCCGTGGCGCAGCGCACAGTGCGAGCAGCAACGTGTTGCGTTTGCATTTTGCTGCATGGGTTCGCAACCTGGTCGGTTCGATCTTTTAATATATTTTCTAAACTTTGTTTTGTTCGTGTCTGTGGTTTACGTCACGCGATGGCCGTAAGAAAACAATATCCTTTTTTTATCAAAATGTGTCGCTGCAAGGCTGCAGCCTCGTGAAGAAGTAGCGTTGCACATGTCCTGAAGCGTTCCAAGACACGCTCAAGGTAACCAGTTGTTTTAAATCCACGACACCAAAAGGTTTCCTCCATGCTGATCTACGTCAACAAAATGAATAAATTATACTAAGGGTGAACAGATTGCTGTGTGTCTCCGTGGTGCAATGCTACGAGCAGTCACTGGGTTAATATTTTGATGTTTTGATCCCCCGGGTTCGAATCCAGGTTGTGCCGATCTTTCCTTTAATATATTTTTTCATGTAAATGTGTTCATACGTGGCCGTGATGTGGTGCTCACTTATACAATCGTAAACGCTGCAATGGATTTGTGATGCGGTTTGTAGATTTTCAGCAATATGTTTGTGAATGTGTGACGAATCAGGGAACTGAGGCGGACACGTCTGCAGCTGTGGAGTGAACACAAACACGCACGCGTAGGGAAACCAGTAGGTGGAAAAACCAGTAGGGGTGTAACACCGGCCGGACAGAGGTCATCGCAGATGGAAAGGTTAAAATTAGGGATGGGGCCGATCCGATCCAGTATCGGTATCGGGACCCGATACCAGAGAAATTTGGGTATCGGATTTTCCGATACAACCTTTGGAGATTTCCGATATCAATGAGCCATGTCTGCGCTTTAACGTCGTCTGCTGAAATGACTCCAAAGGTGATCCCCGCCTGCTAGTCTGCTAGTCTGCTAGCTGGCTGCAAACTGTGGAATGGATTCCTGAACGGAGGCGCGGCTCAATGAGACAGTTATGAGACCCGCTCAGGAAATCCATTCCACAGTTTGCAGCCGGCTAGCAGACTAGCAGGCTAGCAGGATAGCGCTGAGGCTGGACTGTTCAGCACGGCAGCCAATATCGTGGATGAAAAAAGGAATCGTCTAACTGCAGAGAGCAGAAATGCTCATATTCCTCAAGAAGAACCTGCCGATGTCAGATTTGTTGAACACTACATCACTTCCTCAGAGTCAACTTTGAGACATTCAAGTTTTGTTTTCTTTTAAAGAATAGTTACTCTTGTGTTTAGTTTATTTCAGGTCATCTTAAGTGCTGTTCTGATGCACACTGTTTTAAAACCTATTGTGTGTGTGTGTGTGTGTGTGTGTGATTGCGTGTGTGAATGAGTGAGACTGTGTGTCAAGTGTGTAAGATGTTTACAAATATTTTATTGCACTTTTCTTCAGATATTTTACATGTTGTTCATGATACAAGAGTCAGTTTACTTGATTTGTGCTGTTATTTTTGTGAACGAGTGAGTAAGACTGTGTGTCAAGTGTGTGCATGTGTGTGTGTGCACTTCTTTGTGTCACAAATTTTAAGACTTATTAAAAATAAGTCTTTGACATTCAGAAATATTAAATAAAATATGACTTGAATAAATATTGACATGACAATCAATCTGAAACCCTTAGTTTCAAATTTGTTTTCAGAATTTTTTCTGTTAACAGGATTTCCTGTTTTTCAAACACAGCTCTGGTATCGGAATATTATCTGTTTCGGCCGATATCCAAATTTAGGTATCGGGATTGGATCGGAAGTGAAAAAATGTGGATCGGTGCATCCCTATTCAAATCAAATGTATTTAAGAAAGGAGATGGTGTTGTGGTAAAATGAACATCTCAGCTGAGGAGCCGCTGGTCTCAGCAACCAACAGGCCCCAGGTCAGTCCTTTTGACCCCCCATAGTGCCCGTCTGCCGCCTCCACCAGCGAACTCCAGAACAATGGTTCCTACAGGTATTTATAACGATCCGTGAAGGTGTGGAAGTTAGTGTCCACACTCTGGCAGTCGTTCTGGTGAGTTCAATGGAACTCGGATTTCAAA